ATAAAATCGAGGTTTAAAGATGAAACTGAGAAACAAAATGACGCAAAACCAGCATTGACTCACTCCAATTGTATTATTTTATTTATTTTTCATCAGTTAACGATTTAAAATTATTCATTGCTATAATTATTATATCTTAAAGTAAAATTTTATCTAAGATTCATGGTACGTCATTCTAGTTGACGAAAACGAAAACACCTCAACAAAATCAAATGTCAAAAGTAAGTTAGATAGACTCTGCTTGTTACTACTTACAAACATTATAAACAGTTATCAGCGAAAAATTATTAGAGTAGATGGAACAATAATTAAGTTGAGGTGATCTTAATCCTTTAGATAAAAAACTCAATGTTATAAGAATATTTTTAATAATCATCGTATACAAATGTAGTAAATGAAACTAGTATGTCGACACGTGGTTGTCTGGCTAGGCCATTGTGTTAAGCATACACATATAAATAACACACTAGTTTACCAGTTACAATGTTGTTATGCGATCACCCGGCTCTCTTCATATATATATATATATATATATATATATATATATATATATATGGCACGAATGTGTATGAAAGAGCAAAACCAGAAAGCGTAGAATTCATGTTAGAGAGATCGGTTGAGATGTGTTTGTTTCAAGCACGTCATCCCCCCCTCCCCACAACTTAGTAATTTTTTGAGACTACTGAAAGCAAAACCAGTAGTATAGGCACTTAGCAGATAAAGCACTGAACAGAATGCAGGGAGCTAAAGCTAAAAAAGCCTTATTTACTATTTACCGGAAGCGAGATCTGGTTGCGTAAACCAGAGGAGATCACCAAGGATGAGTATGCCTCTTTCTACAAGAGTTTGACTCTGATGACTTGCCACTCAACATCTCCCGTGAGATGTTGTGTAATACCTTACATTATAAGGGCACAAGCGTAATTTGTAAGTACATAAATTAAAAAAAAACATTAAAGGGCCGAAGCCCAAAAGATAACTACTGTAGGGCATCTTATAGAAATTGGAAAGGGTTAATATTTTAATTCCTTGCAATCTCAAAGAAAAAGGAACGAGAGTAGAAGGGATGGAGGACAAAAGCTCCTGCAAACAAAAAGAAAAAAAGAAGCTAATATCAAGCCTTAAGGAAAATAAGAGAAGAATTAGTGCCAAAGTGCACTACGTAACTAACCTAAAGCAAAAGGAGGTAGGGTATGAAGCAATTGAAATTTGGCAGAAGTGATCGGAGGCAACAAAAGAAGAGAGTTTACTTCTTTCTAATGAAGGGATTTTTGGAATAGAGGAGAACAAGCTAGGTAATTTAATCCTTTTCTTCCTCGGTAATTTATCTGATATTTCCTTTATTCAATACCTAGCCTATTATTAGTTATTGATTTTGTAATTTAGGGTAAAGATAACAAAGGATTCTTAAAGTGTTTCAATATAGCACAATCATGAAATTCCTATTAGATTGAACAAAGAACCTATCAGTTTATACTGAGCACTTTACTATGCAAGTTAGCAGTGCTTGTAAACTGCTACATAAGGATATGAGTACTATTTTTGTGTCAAACAAAAGAAATTCTTCTTATCCTCTATATATACTAGTATCAATCAAATAATAAGAATAGATTTAAAAAAAAAACAAGATGCAACTCCTAGCCATTAAGTGATACTAAATTAATTAACAGGGAATTAAGGGTCATATTTCAGAGGAATGGATATCGAGGAATTGATTAAATGTGATAGAAATGGACCAATTATGTTGGCAATTCACGAAGTTGATACAAGATTGATTTTGTAACATTATAGGTAGTTGAAGAAGTTGAACGAGTGCTCGAGCTGGCGCGCTTGATATTTTGGCGCGAGTACTGTGAGTAGTAAACTTACCGCAATTTGTGTTTTCATAACCTGCATGGTTTATACATTATTTTTAAAAATAAAATATGTTACCGAATATTTAAAATTGCATGTGGGACAAGTCTCTTACTTGATATGGTACTGAATAGTTCACTTGAGATGTTTACAGTTATTTAAAATGTTCTCTGTTACTAGACATGTTTTACTATTACTAGAGATATGATTACCGTTACCGAAATTGGATTACATGATTTGATAAAACTTAAAATGCCTTGTACTGTTTTGAAAATTCTTCCATGTGAAGATTTACTGTTTACAAAGAAAAATATGAATAGGAGGAGACTTTCAAGGATCCCGTAGCTAGCGGCGGGTTTGTTAGACCTGGTGCACCTTGTATTTACTGATTACCGAGTACAGTTAGAGCCCTCGCTAGTGGGAAGGTAGAACTAGCATACAGTTACAGTTTTTCCTCGAGTAGAGACTTACAGTTATATTTGGCTCCTCTTAAGAAGGGGTCCACAGAGTGATACAGATTACATGATCCTTTCCTGGTAACCTCCCAAAATATAAAGATTTTATATGACACAGTATTTACCGAGTTTATTATTGAATTGTTAAATTGACTTTGTTGCAGAAAACACATGATGAGACTGATTATTATTACCGTTTTAAAAAGGGCATCTTATTATTATTATACAAGCATGATTTCTGACTTGTCCCCAATTAAAAACGGTTGTGGTTAAATATTATTACTCACTGAGCTAGCGACTCACTCCCCGCTATTTTTTTTTACAGAGACATCAGTTGACGCGAGTGAGGATTTCATTAATTAGAGTACACGATTTGATAAATTTTTGGTGAGCCCTGCACTTGTTCGCGTGGGCGAAGTGTTTATTCATTTGTTATGTTCTTTTCTTTAAAACTCTTAGAGTCGCTCCATAGTCATTTTATTAGTGTCATGAGTATTCGTTCATTATTTTAGACCTGTGACTAGTATTAGACTCTCTTATAGTAGTTTGGAGGTGAATTTAAGATTATTGTCTTACAAGTGATTGATTAATAGTGGTGAGTAACTGTTTGATTAGTTGATGAAGAAGATGAGATATTTTGGTTAATCTAGGTTGGTTTTGTTGTTGATTTTTGAGATAAGGTAAATTTTTGGACAGTCCTAAAACAGGGGAAACTCTGTCCGATTTTATATAAGTTTCCATTAAGGCTTGCTTTGGGATCCTACCCCTTAGCGCCAGAATAAGATTCTCAAGGTGATTAGGAAAAACCTGGTGAAGAAAGCAGCTCTAGGGTTGCTGAAAATGGTGGCTGACCAGGCGAAGAAATCAAAGACAAGTGTGGAGGAAAACGCCGATCAAATTGACATCGATGAAATTCATAATTAACAGAAGAATAAATTCTGCAAATGATATACAATAACATACACTTAAATCAACAAAATAAATTGAGGTTTCATGTAAGTTGTTACTCACCTGGTATCATCAAGGATCTGAATAGTCATTCTCCTTAGCTGGAGGCTGGAAATTAGTTTGTTGCGCTAATACTAATTCTTTTATTTTCCTCAGTTCTCTCATCTCATTTTCGAAGTTAGACAGACGATCCTTCAAAGACTGATTTTCATTTTCAGTTGAACGTAGCTTAGCCAATAATTCAATTTTTGAGGCAGTTCCACCTTTCAAATCTTTTCGCCTTTAATCCACTCCCAAAGCCAAATACATGACTACGACTTTGAGGTCTAAAGCATTTTTCTACAATCTCTATGTTAGGAAGTGATGGTTCAGACGGCACAAATTCATCTATTTGAGCCTATAAAGTATATAGAGAAATTTTTGTCAGATCCCATAATAACTAAAAGTAAAGAACATGTTCAATTAACCAAACGCACATGTTTCTCGATTGTTTCAGGATGATAACACCTTTTGATAAATAATATCTCTAATTGGCTTGCTACCAATATGATGAAGCATCTTCAACTCAGTTCTATTTGCTGCATTCCTGTTACTTCTCGTCTATATCTGAGTGACAACATTAAATTCATATGCTATAAATAAATTATCAATTAAAAGATCACTGTATAAAATAAAATTACATAATTAGGTATTATGTCAAACCTGAAAACTTTCTGTAGAAAAATGTTCCTTTACCAACCACACCCATTGTTTCTTGTCTACCCCCTTGGGCACATTCTTAAGAACCTCTTGGATTGGCTTACCCTTCACATATTTTGCATGCAATTGTCCTCTCCATTTGTTCCATTACTCTTTCATCCATCCCAAAATATGATCACGATGTATATCCATGTCATCACTCTCAAATTTATCCTGCAATACATCAAACATAGATTGATATCCAATATCATCACAGAAACTCCATGTGATAGAAGAAAACATAGTTCTACAATAAGGCTTGAATTAATAAATACCTTACCTTTATTTCAATTTTGTGAATTTAAAACATAGAACATGCACCAACAGTAACGTTTGATGAACAATCGAAGTGTAATTACATACATAATACATGTGATTTGAATACTTATTTATGAATTTGAGGTTAATAACCAAATTTGACAGTCTGATGCAAATATATGAAACAAGTCAGTATGGTAGAATTTTCTAACATATTAAAAGTTTTTAGATTTAACACCTTAGTTTATATTCTCTAGCTATTTCATGAATAAAACAGCTGTACGTATATTCATTCTGAAGTTAAACTTGCTCATTGGATGTTCTTTTTTTTTTTTTTTTCTTATCGTTATTCTATTTGATGTTGTCTTGCAGGTATTCATGCTTTCATAATCACGTATGCTCTCTGTGGATATCATTTGGTGTCTATGTTACCGGAGTTCTCTTCCCAACAGTATCGTTTATTTCATTCCTGCTCATTTCTTATGGATACTGCATCACGTGTGAGCGTCCTTCAATACAAGAGTGCCACATGACAGCTGCTCTCGGATCTATTTTCTACTTGACTCTTGTCGGCTACAGAGCTTCTGTACCCTATTTCTCTGTGGTCCACTAGGTTGTTACCAGCAGTAGCTACATCAGCAGAACAGGCACTATGTTCATTCAAACAGTGCCAGTTACCCTGCTTCTCTTTGTGATACTGGACCATCAGAAGTACCAGAATCAGATATAGCTCAAGCAAGCAGAAGAGTCAGTGTCATATTACCTTCTCCTCTCCCTCAGTTTTCACCATACATATCTCACATACACAGCTCTTTCTCTGGTTTGATTTTGTTTTCACTTAAATGAAGCGAGAACTCTAGTTACAGAACTGGAGAACGAGAAAGCATCTCCTAGGGGTTTTTGCAGAATCTCCTAAGGGAAATGCAGAATGCAAACAAAAAACAGACTTTAAATCCTCAGGCTAGCTCAACTTCGATTGGATAGATGTTTTGGAATATACAGAGAACAACAGAGCAAATACTAACGCAACTAAGGTGAGGAACAAATCACTTGAAAATAATCATTTTTCTGTTCACCTCACTTATTTTTGTTTAACCAAAAAATAGAATTTCAGTCAAAGCTTTATTTTTAGAAGAACTCGGGTTACTGATAATCGGAAATGAATAAAAGAAATGGATTTTGATAACCAATAGATAGCAGAAAACAAAGTAAACCAGTATATTCAGATGATATTGTCGTGTGTTTACAAATGATCAGTCTTCTCCCTTTTATAGCTATTTTTAAGTTATACGTTTTGCCTTTGTCATAATAAGGTCATTATGGACGATTAAAGGCATTAAATGCTACGTTACATAATCATTGTAATTTAATACAGATTCTATAACGTTTTCAGTATTTAATACTTATTAAACACTGTGGCTCTCTTGTGCTGTCAGGTTCATTCTTCTCAGCTTTTAGACTTAAATAGGTACGAGCATCGAGTCTTTTGAATATTTGCTCGTGCCTCTTCTTGTGCTTCCGCTCGTATCTGTTGCAACTCGTGCCCCTTTGCAATCATCAGTCTTTGACCTGCCTACATGTCATGACATGTCATCTTTCAATCACTTCGATATGTATAAACTCAGTTTTACCCAATACAGATAGTCCCCCCACTTGCCATTTATTCATCAATTGAATATTTGGGAAGTGGATTTCATTAAAGCGGGAATATTTACCGCCATTAATGCTATGATAGAATCGATGCTTCAATGGTCACTTCTGTGAGCACGTGATTTTTGTCACGCTTAAATTACTCCTATAGAATTCATTTGAATTAGAATTTTTCTTTTAGTATTTGAATTTTTAGGAATCAATTGCATGATTTTGTGTTTTGTTTGCATTTTGTGTGCATTTTTAGGTGCCATAAAAAATGAAAATTACAAAGAATAGCATACTTGCATTTAGGACCTAATTCTAGATTTTTATATTAATTAAACATCATTTAAAATAAGAGAAAAATAACAAAAATAGTCTTTTTACAATTTTAAATTTTACATTTTTACATTTTTGATCTAGTTTCCTCTTAAATTAGGAATTAGTTAATTAGTATCATCTTAGATTTAATTTGGGTCTTTTACATAATAAAATAAGAAAATTCACAAATAATAAGTAAAATACAAAAATAAATATAAAAGGAAAAAAAAGGAGTAAAAAGAATAAAAAAGAATGGTCTTGATAAAAGACCAAATTTTGGGCCAAAATCTAATTTTAAGCCCAAAAGTCGCCTAAAACCGGACCAAATCACAAGCCCCAAACAGCCCAACCCGGTCCAAACCCTTTTCCCACTTAAACGACGCCGTTTTGCTCGCAACAAATCTCAGTCGTCGAGGTTTACTTGATCGAACGGCTGAGAAGCTGGGGTGTGTGAGTATATATATGTCCAAACGATCCAACCCCCCTTACCCCCCTCGTCTCTCCCATCTCTCACCAGAAACCCTAACGCCACCGCCCCTCCGCCGTCCGCCGCCGGCCGGAAATCGTCTCCGCCGGCGGCAAGTCTCCAATAGCCATGAAATTTACACCCCTGGACTTCCTTTTTCTCCCCATCCCGAATCCATGCCCCATTTCCTTCAAATACTCACCAAACCCTTCAAATAACCAAAACCCTAGCGCCGCCACCACCGTGCACGGCGGCGCCGCCCCCCAAAACCTACCAAATTCACACCCCACACTCCCCTCACCCTCCTTTACCTAAACCCCTAAACCATTCTCCCCAAATCCAACCGAAACTTGTAAAATTTTAGATCTAGGGTTTATGAGAGACTGTTGGTTTTTTTTAAAGACTGTCCAAGGATCGATTTGAGTTCTTAAATAACCTGATACGTTTGTTCTCACCAAGAACGAACGTATAATGTTATTTGGAGGCTCAATCCGAATTCAATTCATTGAAGACCATATCCGTGAGTTTCTGTTCTTTTCTTTTTTCCTTGTTTATTTTTCTTCTTTCGATTGATTTTGTTATCATAATTTTTGATTTCTAGTTTAATTTTTTTTGGTTGATTTTGCCTACATGGTTTCTGATTTTTAGTTAATTTTGTTTTAATTTTTGATATTGTTGGATTCTATGTGATTCATATTCAACTTTGTGCATGATTATATGTTGACATGAATTAAACTTTAGTTTCCATTTTTTTTGTTGGTTAGTTAATGGTTAGTTCATTGTTTTAACTATAGGATATTAGTGTTTATTAGAGCCAAAGTCCAATTTCAAATAATTAGATTAGTTAGCTCTAATTTTAATCTTTGTTTGGATATAGCTGAATTAGATTGGTTAGTTTAACTATAATCAAAGGCTGACTAGGTAAAAGGGGTTGGGTTAGTTGATATAGGCTTTGTAATTTCATAATCAAATCAAGGGTATATTGGG